TATATATATATATATATATAAGGTAATAGTTTAAATATTTAAAGATGGAAAGACAATTAAAAATCTCACATGCATAAGTGTTGTACGACTTAAATGTTTAACATTTTTTCTCCACCAACGATCCCTGGTGCATTATTTAGAGAAATATACAATGACACAAAACACTGGAGGCCAAATACTCTTAACTCCCACTCTAGCTCTATCGGTTCTTTATTCAATCTGTGTAATTTTTTCATCAACTGGGTTAGAGGATCATCGTCTTTTGCTGCCTCATCATCTTCATAGGTCATAGGTTGAGCCGTTGGCTATTTGTCAAAATGGTAGAATTGAAAGAAAAATTTCTAAAAGTTATAATTATTTATTTATAACTTGAACATAAAAATACTAAGAATAACAATATAATACCGTTGGTGGGCCAAAATATGACATGATCATAGCCTTAGGTCAAGTTATAAATGTGCTTAAGACCTCCCACGAATTATATTTCAGAAGTTGGCACCACTTGAGAGCGTGGACTTCATCATTTGTCACCTACACGTAGGTCGACAATAAATGAGCATCATGAATGGTTTGTCCTCCTACAATCTGTCGTTTCATGGCCACTACGTTCGGAGGATCCTCATCAACTAAATAGCTTATACTGACAAGTATAATCAGTAGAATCTACAACAAAGCTTGAGCCTTTGGTGCTCGCACGATGTCCAGTTGGATCTTTTGTGGGGATGTCCTCCCTCTTCTCATCATGTGAAGTCTTTCTTTGAATGCCTTTTAATATTGTTCTTATTGCTGGAGACGTTCTATAAAGACGTTCATGCCTTTTGATATTATTCTTTTAATATTACTCTTAAATGAGATTTTTTCTTAAGAAAAACATAACTTTTCTTATATTTGAGATCATTATGTAATTAAAAAGTTGTTTATCATATTTAATAACTATTAGGGTGTTGGTTGAATGATTATTAAATATGATTAAATTTTTATAACATTAATGATTAATTATTTTTTAAAATAATTTTTAAGAATACCTACTATGGTTTAAGTTGATTAAACAAACAAATTTATATGGGAGATAATTTTTTTATATTAGAGTATAAATTATTTGCGTGGTTAATAAATATATATTATTTTTTAAATAATGTTATTTAAGAAATAAAATTATATATTTTTCTAAATTTAATTTTATTAAATGACTAACCAAATAATTAGAAATCAGATAAAATAAAAAATAAAAAATAAAAAGTAAAAAATAAAAAAATAGTATAAAAATAATTAATACTTTTATATAAGTTATTCTTTAATAATTTATTAAATAGCCAAATAATTAGAAATTATAAATGAATAAAATTAATAATGAAAAAACAGTATAGAACAAAAGAGTTAATATTTTAAATATAAGTTATTCATTAATAATAGATATATTGAAAATAGATTAGAATTTTTTTAATGAGGGTTAAAATGTGTTTAATGACACACATTAAAATAATTAAATATTTATTTATTTAAAAATAAATAAATATTTTTTAAAAATGCATATAATGGATTAAATTGATCAATAATATAATTCAAACTTTATACTTAATTAACATTTTGGATATTGATATGAAAATTTTAAATTTGAAAAAATAATAATTTTATTTAAGATATAAAATAATAATTTATTAAATATTAAAAGATAAAGTTAAAATATATTACTATTTTTACGGTAAATAATTTTGAAACCAAATCAAATTGATAAAATGGTAAAATAATATTTTAGAAAGATACTTTACTATAAATAAATTTCAGACATAAACTATTTTCAATTTCACATTTTAACTTAGGGTTAAATATGTTTTTAGTCCCTAAAACGAACGTTTTTTAAAGATTGAGGACTAAATTGTACCTTACTTTGGAAGAGGGACGAAAACCAGAAACGGTCAATAATTTAGGGACTAAAAACATATTTAACCCTTTAACTTAAGCAATTAAAAACGTACTTAATTCTTATTTAAAACTTTTTACAAATTATATATAAAATAATAAAATAACTTTTTAGAAAGATAATTTTAATATGACAGTATAAATCATTTGAACTATTAATATATGTACCATTTTTTAAAATAATATTATTTTAAGAAATAATAAAAAAATATTTTTCTAAATTTATTTTTATTAGCGATCAAATGATTATAAACAAAAAACGATAAAATTAAAAATTAAAAAATATTTTAAAAAAATTATGCTTTAAATATAAGTTAACTTTTAATAATTTGTTAAATGACTAATTAATTATAATTATAAAAGAATAAAATTTAAAATAAAAAATGATATAAACAAATTAATTTTAAAATAAAATAAATATATAAAAAGGTAAAATAATTTTTCTGCAGGTAACAAAACAAATATAAAAAAAGAAATTAATAAAATAAAATATATAAAAAAAAATAAAATAATTTTCTTATAACAATTTTATGTCCTATAGTTATAATAATTTATCATAAAATATATTTTTTCATTTAAATTTATCTCTATTAAAATTTTATGTCCTATAGTTATAATAATTTTTTTTTATAATCATATAAAATGTGTTTGTAATTACTTGTAATATGATTATTTTCATAAAAATAATATTCCATTTCTTAAAATGCAACACTGAAAATGATTTATAT